GTGAACGATCCCTCCTCTCTCTCTCTCTCTCTCTCTGTTTCTCGAGGTGGTCGTCATAAATCACGTGACACGATGACACGGAGCAGTTGAAAAGGGGAACGCGAGGCTCGCCATCCCCTGCGAGGCACGAGGGGAGAGGAGGAATCATCCCTCTTTCCGTTGGAACTGGAAAATTAGAATCACAATGGGCGACTTACCTGTTTCTTTAGAATGATGTGCTTCCCCTTCCAGTACTTCATCATACCGAGGGCTTGCAGAGTGCTCACGATATCGTAGGAATCGATGGCCATCTCCTTGCTGATATCTGAAAGACAATACACGCGTGAGGCGCGTGACGAATGAATCGGCTTAACGAGGGGAGGGCTTAAATGCCTCTCGAGTACGAGATCCCGTACTCGACGGTTTCGGTTCCGCGCCGCCACTCTTAAAATAACGCGTCTTGTAAATCGGTCAAAAGCGTGCAAGGCGTGTGCGTGTGCTCCGCATGGCCGGTATTGTATTACCTTTGACGGAGAGTTCCTTGCCCCCGAAGTTGCAGAGGTACTGCAGCAAAACGTCCTTCCAGTAGCTGCGATACGAGATCAAGCCCAGATCCGACAGAGGTTTTTCGGGGGAGCCAATCTTTTTCTCCACTCTGGTCAATAAGTAACCTGCGCAAAACGCGTTATATATTAAACGTATTGCGTAACATCGTCCATCCATCCATCCATCCATCCATCCGTCTATCTCGTCCGCTAGGAATTTGTTCCTAGCGTGATCGATGAGGGAAGGTGGAGGGAAAGAGGTCAATAGACGACAGGTGAAACGTTCACCGATCGATCACGCGAATATTCTAATCGATCGGACGATGACGTTCTCTCTTTCTCTCTCTCTCATCGTCGCCAGCCAATGAATTTCTCCGTTCTGCGTAGGACAATGCGGAGGATTTCTACGAGATTGTTATCATTTCCTCCCGTAATATCCTCTCGTTACTTTGCCCACTACATTACGCCCTTGCGCACGGGCCACTGGACAGACTATGAAATTCCAATTGCACGAGATACGTCGAAGCCGCATAGGTACATGCGCGCGTTCGTGTGCACACACATAATACACGTCTCTATCCTGAATCGACGCCACCGCTATAAGCCATTTCTAGTGTCAGTGACCGACGAAGGATGAAATGCCGCGGCGCCAGTGCCGTATTGAAAATAATTTCAACTTCGCCTATATCCGAGCCAATCTTCACGAATTACACGTGTACGTACGAATATAGGTGTGAGAACTCGTCAAAGAGAGAGAGAGAGAGAGAGAGAGAGAGAGATTATGGGGAGGGCGATTAAATTTCCCACGTGATAAATTTTCCGAAAGGAGATAACTCTGGGAACTCTTTTTTCGAGTATACGGCACTGGCGATGTCCGGATGCTTCTGGAGTCTGGTTGAATGCCCGTCACGCCTCGTTTGTTCGATGCTGTATCCTACGATGCTGTACGATTCGCAAAAAAAAGAAAAAAAAAAAAAAAAAGAAAAAAATTGCTAGAACTAAAAGAACGGAAGAAAAGAATTGGCGAATCGATTTCGAATCTGTTCCTACTTTCGGCCGTTGCAATTAGACCATGTCCGATGGCGATACTTTCGGATTATCGAACCACGATATTCGAGTTTCGAAACGTGGAATGGAGGGACGAACTATTCGCGACGAGCCAGTGGACGTTTAAGGTTTCTCATTCCTCGCGTATGAACTAATTAACTAATTAAATAAATTGCATCAGCGATGCGGGACTAGCCTAAAGAGATTTCTCCGTTTATGGGTCATCCGTTATATTTGTAAGAAGCAGACACGCGCGGCTTGTATTGATTTCGCATTGGTATGCCGTTACTCTTAAAAAGACACGCGAAAGCATTGATCCGAGAATATTCCAGCTTCGTCGTGCTCGTTTCAATGCCATTTAGCATAGGCAAGTTTAGCGTGGAAAGTGCATAAATGCGAAAGAACTCGCGTTTGAAAATAAACGATCGATATATTAATATTGTCTGTCTGTTTTGTTTGGAAATAGTTCTCGATGTATTTTTATATACATATGTTTAAAAAAAAAATAAATAAATAAATAAAAAAATAAAATACAAGAGCGCGAATATTTTTTTTTTTTTCCCCCACCAAAAAACCGATCAACCACGGTTCTATTTTACGCGTGAGATAGCGATGGGTTCTCTTCCGTTTCTCAGACACGTCGATGTCGGTTTCCAGAACATCCGGAAACCGTAAAGTTCAACGACCAGCAGTGGCCAGGCGAAATCCTCGCGGAAGCATCTCCAGTGAACAGCAACGTTCCCGAAATAACCGCGGAATTCTCATTACCCGAATAATCGAGGTCGAGACGATAACAGTGTCTCGCGATTAAAGGGGAAAGAAAAAGAGGGAGAAAAATCAGAGACGCGGAGATGGGAGGAGGGAGGAGGAAAGGAGAGGAAGAGAGATGATAGCCGCCAGGTGTCGGGTAAGAGAAGGTAAAAGACGGTAAAAGGAAGGCGAGACGATTTTTACGGAGTGTATCCGAGGTAGTCCACGAGGACCGGTCCTGCGCTGGGATTATTCCAGGATGTCCCGGAGGCTGAGGGGTTCAACGACCATCCTTTTCCTCCTCCTCCTCCAGACTCCTGAGCCAGCCGCACAGCCTTTCACGGACGGAGAGAGGACAGTCTATCCTCGCCACCCTCTCCCAATTCTTTTCCACCACCTTCTCGTCTCTTCTCCTTCCCTCCCTCCCTTTCTCTCTCTCTCTCTCTCTCTCTCTCTCTCTCTCTCTCTCTCTCTCTCTCTCTCTCTCTCTCTCTCTCTCTCTCTCTCTCTCTCTCTCTCTCTCTCTCT